AAACTATCCACATTAATCTTGTAAATCTGATATGTACTCTGAAGTATTTTGATCCAGATAAATATATTATGGAAGTGACAACTTTAATACTTCAAGAGAACTTAACTTTCTGGACGCTCAGACATTACGAGGTTCAGAAGGAAATCTCCAGACTCTACGAGTTTCAAAATGAGAAATTTAGACTCTACTGAAATAGATACTCAGATTTTACTGAAGACCTACGCTGACTCAGGTTCTGAATGTAAAGCAAAAACCAGAAATTCTTCAGACTCAGAATTTATTCAGAACGAAACATAACGGTTAATGATCTGGTGTGAATTTCACAAAAGGAAAGAATTGATTGACTCAATCTAAGGCTAATTGATTGACAATCAAACATTATGACAAATATATATCACAACGGATAAAACTCTACTTATGGAAATCAAGATTTTTGTTGTATGGGCGACCAGATTCAGTGGGATTCGGATTTTGTCAACCAACGGCTACTCAATCCATTTTATACAAATCTGTCCAAGGTAAAGATTGGAACATGATCATCTGAACGCTGTCCAACGGCTAGTTTGGAAGTGGAGGAGTATAAAAAGAGATCAATAAGGAGCAGAAGGCATAGAACCAAATCAAGAATCAACAAGTCCAAAGTCTGAGCACATTCCGATTTTATTACTTGTCTTCCTGAGCTAACTACTGAGATTTTGAGAGATATTTTGTAAAAGTGATTGTGTGAGATAGAGAATTCTATCATTCACCGAGTGATATCACTCAGATCTTGTAATCCCTTTAATCACATAGTGGAATCCAGCCAGTAGGCTGTCAGCGTGGGAGAGTGGACGTAGGCTTGATCTAAGCCGAACTATTATAACTTCTTGTGTGCAGTTCTCTCTACTCCTAATCTCTCATTATATTGTTTACACTGCACACTAGTATACTCAGAATCTGAATATTGTTCAAACTTTATTGATTATAAATCTTTTTCGTTTTAAATTCTTCAAAATCACTCAAATCACCTATTCACCCCCCTCTAGGTGATACCTGCCAGCTACAACACTTTTATTGATGTGAAATCATGTAGCCAGACTGATGCCCGAAGTGCACACCAGAAAGTGTAGCTGCATGGGGTCATCACAATGTTATGGTTTGTATAGACATGATCCCATAGCACAATTGATGGTTCTGAAGCTAATTGTTATATCTCAATCAGTCAGTGAACGTGCTTGCAGACTTATATTCTCCGCTTGATATCATCTCTTTGGGTCATCGATACAGTTCTTTCAATCGACACCTACTTGATGTCTCTGTTTTTTTGGTTCATTCCTTATCATTCATTGATAGTGTTAATAGGAATTTTAATTTTTTTTCCGATAAGGAAACCGTCACGAAAAGCGGCCACGCCTTTGAGATTCGACTCACGAGGTGTATAGAAGGCGATTATTTAGGATACCACCTTCTTAAATGTATGTGGTTCATGAGATTCGACAGGCAAGCTGGGGCACATTTTCAGCTTGGTGAGGAACTTAGGGGGAAAAATGGAAAAGGTTTTCCTTCCATCAATAACTCTGGGTTTGTATTAACCCAGTATACAAACAACTGAAATTGGAAAGTTTTCTCGACCTTTGTCGGGGGCAGCCAATGACTTAGAACAGCTTTGCAAATTTAAAATAAAAAATAGCATGGAAGGGAAATCAACTCAGATTATTTTATGTCCTACAAGAAAAAATAACATAGGAGGAAACGTATCATTTCTTCGCAAGAGTAAACCGAGATAAGTGCAGTACTTGATGGCGATGAATGCAGTTGTGAACAAAGTCTATATGTTTAGCCAAAACAAATGAAAAAAGAAACAAAGTCTAGATGGAGCTGAAGAACGAAGTTGGACAAGGAGGGATCGGAACGTTGACCGTGCCTTCAAGCATCAGCAGCACCTTTCTCATCGAAAGACGAAGTGATGGCCCTCCTAGGATGCACCAAGGTCCCGCTTTCACCATTCTCTCAAACTGTCTTCTGTCAATCAATCCATCATGTCCTAGTTTCTCCAGCTCACCGGCCAAGAACGGTTTCTTCATCGGGACAGTTCCAATCCACACTCCTTCGGCAGCAGATCTCCAGAAGCACGACTGCAGAGCTGGAAACGTCGGCTTTCCCTGTCACTGGTAGATTTTTGTACCACTCTTGACGTGACACACCCCCTCTTTCCTTGACGCTTGTGATTGTGTTGGTTTGATCTGGCTTCAACAGTTTTGATAACACAATATCAGATATTTTTGCCTGTCTATACTAATCTATCAGTATGTTCTGCGTCTTAAAGTGAATGATATGAGTTGTACACTCATCGGGGAGATAAAGGAGGCCTTAGCTATGTTCGAGCAAGTCCTATTTTCTCTTCCCAACATGGTTGCTCTTCAGGTGTAAAAAGTATATCTGCATTGACACATTGCTCATGTACTCGTACACCAAAAGCCTGTTAGGCCCATCTAGACAGTAACCTTGTAAACGGATGAGATCCGGGTGATGCATCCTCCTAATTATTTTCACCTCAGTTTGGATTTCTCTTTCCACATAAGATGAGATATTGTATACTTTCTTAACAGAAAAAACTTTGTAGTTATCGGCAGCCTTGCTTTGTAGACTTCCAAATGCTCCCTTGCCAATTTCTTCTGCAAAAGCTCCGCTTAACTCTTTTCATCTCTTCCTGAGCATACGATTTAGATGTGACATCCTCTAAGGCACAAGCACTCGTCATTTCGATCTTTGTTTGCACAGAACCCATTGAGCCTGGAGATGCCCTTGGGGCTGCATTTGTGGTCAGTGGATGACCACACAGTGGACAAATTACCCTTCTTGGTAGTGTTGTTCAAGCATACCCGCAAATTCCCATCTGCATCGATTCTCGTTAGATAGATCATTCCCTTCTTTAGGAAGCCCTTCTCTGGTGATACTCCTTACATTATGACCTGTGGTGTCGAATCATATGCCAAAAGCAAACACATTCTCCTTTACGAAAGATGCTTTTCGATCGATCAGCGGTGGAACTGCTCGAGAACATCTGTTCACCTGCTGATAGATGCTGGTCTGCCATAAGGCTATCCGTTGGTGAATCAAAACTCTACCATATTACATCCATCTTAGAGTTGTAAAGAACATAATTCCCTGTATCGAACGTAGGAGCTGAAACGGCAATATTTTTAGGAGAAACATAAGTCTCTTCTGCTAGCGCTGACTGCAGAGCAAACCTCCCATCAATAGTGAAACGTAGTGTTGGATTGGTTGGAACTGGAGGACTGTCTCCGTTGGCAGTCCGGACCACGGCTATAGCTCCTGCAAGGAAGACTCCGACTGACTAGCCACTGCCTCTCTGGTAGAATCCAAATGCAAAGAGACCGGAAGGTGAGGGCCGTGAGGAATTGGTGGTGGGTGTGAGAGAAGAGCCAAGGCTTTTCGTGGTCTGGTTTTGCGAAGTTACTGTTGGGAACATGAATGCAATGGGATGAGAAAGAAATGGGAACTGGTCATAACAGGTAAAATGCCTTTGAGTCGAGCTTGTCCGGTGAAGAATCTGATCTTGCTTATGCTTTGTAATGGTAACCATGTAAATGGGAATGTGTTTGCTTTTGGCATATGGTTCAATCAATAGAGAACTGAGAAGAAGTCTTTCAGCTGGTCCAGTCAATGCGCTCTGAGAAAGCATATGCGCTTGCAAGAAACGTTGCAGAAATAGGATGTTTATATTAAAATGACACGCAAGTAGCAAACTTCTTGAGGTTAAATACATTAATATGAAAACATAGGTGAAGGCCTTGATTTTGCATTAGTGGACTCAACAGATTTGAAGAAATGTGAAACGTGAGAAGCAATCTTGTATTCCAAGTTCTGAGAAGTAAAAGCTAGAGTTGAAAGGACTCCTCTCTCTGACCCATCTTTGAATAGCTCTGGACGAAATTAGTCTGTCCACCTGCGTATTATGCCGGCTTTATGAGCAAAGTAGTGGGCTACAATGATAAGTTAGCAGCTTGAAAAATCCTTTATTAACTACTGCAGATAGCTGCAGTAGGTACCTATGTCACTATTTATTCACTCTAAAATCATCTGTAAAAATGGACTTAGCCAATGCACAAATTGCAAAGAACCGTGTCTTTGAGGACTTCAAGTTCAACAACCTGCGTCAAGAAGCTGATTCACGAGTCAAAATCGGAGAAAGAAGAGAAGCTTCAAAGAGACTGCGAGAAAAAGTATTTGGAGTTTTGTCTTCCTTGAACAATGATGGGCCGTTCTATAAGAAGGGCACAGAGAGTAGGTTCGTTTGACCTCAGCTATGTGCAATTAAAAAGATAGTTAAAACAACCTGGAATTCCAAATTTTGAAGAGAAATTGAGCAGAAACTGTAAAGATGCTACATGGAAAGAGAACCTCCTTGGGTTTTCACTTTAGTAATTTGAGAGAACACGCTTAATTTCTGTGTTTGTTACTAATCAAAGAACGAAAATGTCAATGTATGTTGATCAACTGATATTTGATCTTCATTCTGAGATATGAATTGCATTAGTTAAGGAGAACAATCAAAAGGAATGAGAAGTTGTACCCTTTCTTGTATCGAATTTGAGTTTGATTCTCAATGCACTGATCATACTAGAGATGTTTGATATCCTCTGTAAGTATACAAAAAGCTAACTCATTTAGATCTCATATTGTCAACACAGTAAAGATGTGCGAATCCTGTTTAGGAGGGCAACAAAGAAACTCTGGCAAATTTTTCATGTCTCTGAGTATTTCTGAATTTCTGCAAGCCAGTTTAAGGTTGAAACATGGAAAGTTCTGTCGATTATTCACATGATGTCAGCTGATCGGTCAGAACAGCATCAAACAATTAAATGGGCAATTTGTCCATAGGCGAAACCTTGCTGTCTCCTCTCCCTCAATACGCATTCTATGGTCTTTTAATTTCATGGGCAACTAACAGGACCATACTGATAAACTTCTATCTGCCACCACAGGAAAGAAAGGAATTGTTGAAATGAACTCGGAGTTCTTTTACTTCCTGTAAGAAGGAAGAATTTTATAGGACCAATGCGCACTGATGGATGAACCTAGAGATACTTGAAATGCTTATAGTATAAATAACTTAATTTATTTCTGACCCGAGCAGCTTTTGGTGGTGATAAAGTGCATTTCCTAAGAAAATTCAGATGACACTAAGGAAGGAAGTAGGACAAGGAGGGATTGGAACGTCGACCGTGCCTTCAAGCATCAGCAGCACCTTTCTCATTGAAGGACGAAGCGATGGCTCCTCTAGGATACACCAAAGTGCGACTTTAACCATCCTCTCCAATTGCTTTTTGTCCATAGTTTGATAATCCACCAGCTTATCCAGCTTGCCAGCCAGGAAGCAGGAGTAAACCCATTCCTCGAGAACGACTTCCTCCTCAGGAAGGGTCCTATCCACATTCCTTCGGCCACAGATGATCTCCAGCAGCACAACTCCAAAGCTGGAAATGTCCGCTTTCACAGTCACTGGCAGTTTCTTGTGCCACTCCGGCGCAACGTACCCCCTTGTTCCCCGTATTCCTGTTGTGGTATTGGTCTGTTCTGGCTTCAGCAGCTTCGACAGCCCAAAATCAGAAATCTTCGCTTGCATGTAGTCATCTATCAATATGTTCTGAGGCTTTATGTCACAATGAATGATCGTCTCACACTCTTCATGTAGATAAAGAAGGCCTCTGGCAACATTCCGAGCTATTCCCATTTTCACATCCCAACTGGCTTGGTTTTCGGCTTTAAAGAGTACATCGGCAAGTGACCCATTGCTCATGTACTCATACACCAAGAGCCTATTCTCTTTATCATGACAATAACCTAGCAGTCGGACCAAATTGTTAAAATAAAAGTCACAAGACTCAGAAGAAAACAAACAGAGGAGAAAACGAATGCTTTATTGCCCTTAACCCCCTACTTCATCTGACACAAGCTCTTTATATAAGCAGAGCAGCAACGGAAACAGCTAAAACATAGCCAAAAAAATAGCAACAGAAGAGACTCACTAATGTGCAGCAACGTGCTGCAACAAACCCCTGAAGAATAGCAACAGAAACATTCTCCAGCTTATTGACCACGTAGAACATGGACAAATTCAAACATTGACTCATTCAACACAAATTCCGGTGATGAGTCTTTCCAATAGTTTTCACCTCAGCTTGGAACTCACTCTCCCCGTCGGATGATATCTTCTGTAGCTTCTTAACAGCCACGGCTTTGCTGCTGTCCAGATCCTTCATCAGCGTGCCTTTGTAGACTGTTCCGAATGCTCCCCTGCGAATCTCTTCCGAAAAATTTCCGGTCACTTTCTTCAGGTCTTCAAAAGTATACGCCGTAGGAGCAACATCTTTAATTGTTCTGAAATCCCTCCTTTGGAAGCATTTTGTAAACCCAGACACGATTCTTGTAAAGAATGAGTCCAGACACCGCCAGCATTAGGATTGCAAAAGCAATAGATGATGCAACTGCAATCAGAATTTCTCTCCGAGTATACTTTTGCTCACAGCCATTTCTTCCGTCTTCTCCAGATCCAGCATTACCTACCTTGACGTAAAGTAGTGAGTTGTTCCCGCCGATGAGTCTCCCCCCGAATCTTAGAGGAAGCTTCTGCTTGCTGCAGAACTGAGTGGCATTGTATGCAACAGCCTCGCAATTGCAATCCTGCCGACACGCCTCTACACATTCGTCCTGGGTCAGCGATGTAAGAGCGGAATACGTGGCGTCCTCCCATATGGTGATAGAAACAGGTTGCATGTCGTAGCTGGCCGGGGGGTTCTTGCAGCTTTCTGCGGTGAAGTTCCTCTCACACCCTGCATTCCCGTTGCTGTCCTTCACAGATGCGAATCCTGGAAGACACGGGCACGCATAATCCTGATCAATATTCGTACAAAACGCATTAAGCCCGCATATGCCCTTGGGGCTGCATCTGTCGATTGAGACATTATATTTAACGGGCCAATCGTCCTTCCTGGTTGTGTTATATGAGTATAGCCGGAAAAGCCCATCTGGGTCAATCCTCGCAACATAGATCATATCTTCTTTAGGACCTCCCGGGCTCGTGAAATTCGAAAGGTATATGCTTGGGGGTTTCAATAGGTAGAGAAACCCATCATCCTCGAGATGTAGCGTCACATTCGTACCATTATTAGGTCTACCTGAATCCCAGTAACCGTACGCGCCAGTGAATGGAGTACCCACAGGATATAACGCAAGAACTCCATCTGACTGCATGATTGCAAGAAAGAGACCCGTAGACGGATCTGTGACCGAAGCACTCGAATGCAACTTTTGTTCTGCCGATAGAGTTTGACCGCCTAAAATGGTATCCGTCGGCCAGTCGAAGCTCTGCCATATGACGCCCTGGCTAGAGTTGTAAAGAACGAAGTTCCCCGAATCGAGCATTGAAGCCGAAGCAGTTGTACCGATGGGAGTGGCGACATATGCATCTTGTGCTTGTGCTGACTGCAGAACGAGTTTGCCACTGCTGTCAAAACGCAGAGTGGAATTGCTTGGAAGCGGAGGGTTATCTCGGCCATAAGTCCAGACCGCGATTTTATTCGAAGTCCCCGGAAGGAAGACTCCCACGTAAAAACCGTTGCCTCTCTGGTAGAATCCGAACGCAAAGACACCGGAAGGTGAGAGCCATGAGGATTTGGAGGTGGGCGTGAGAGTGTCGGTGAGGCTGATGTTTTTCTGTCCCTGGGAAGTTGCTGTTACGAACAGGAATGCCAACGGGAGGAAAATCAAAATTGGAGCTGCCATAACAGGAGAGAGAGAGTGCCTGTGCGGTGAAATGGAAGTTCGGTGTACACAGCCTTGTGGTGTGAAGACTAAGCTCGTGGGTGTGCTTTATAGAGCTCAGCATCCAAATGCAAATATGTCGTCATCTCTGCTGACCGGCAGACCGATTGTTTGGTAGAAAATAATTTTCAGAAAAATCTTTTTCGGATTTTTCGGCATTCGATTCACAAAAAATAAACTAGTAAAAAAAAACATTTTCCACCGATGGAGAAAAACGCCTTCAAAAAGTGGGGAAAATATTTTTCGCTTTTTCCGTCAACTTTCTTTCACCTGTAGACCAAGCACTTTCTTTCACGAAACACATTTTCCTTTTATTTTTATTTATTTTTTATTTTAAAAATAAATCGAATTTTTAATATTTTCTTTTCTTTTCTAATTTTCCTTTTCTTTCTTTTTCTCTTTGCTTCTTCCTATGCCGGTCACTAGCCACGGCAGCGGCCGGCGACCAGCCTGTGGTGAGGCTCCACCTCGCCTGATCCAGCGAGGTTGAGCTCGCCCGAAGCCAGTGAGGTCGAGCTTGCTCGAGGCCAGCGAGCTGGGCGAGGCTCAAGCTCGCCTATGGCTGGTTGCCACCCGTCATCGTGGTTGACGATCGGCCGAGGAAGAAGCAAATAGAAAAAGGAAAAACAGGGAAAAAAAGAAAAGAAAAGAAAAAGGAAATTAATTAAAAATTTTGAATTTTTGGAAATTTTTTTCAGAAAATCAAATCAGATACTAAATGATGGAAAATATTTTCTAGTTCATTTTCAGGTTTTAGCCGAATATCGAAAAATATTGTCATTTTCCTGAATAATGCCTTCCTGGAAAATATTTTCCAAAAATCTCATATTTTTCACGAAACGAACGAAAACTAAGAAAATAATTCCACTTCGACATATATCAGCACAATGCAATTCCCTCTTTTTCTCTCCTCGTTGCTAAGTGTCTTAAGATTGATTGACAAAACTTGCTGACAAAATGATGTGAACTCTTAATGGATGCTTGAATATGACCCGTTATCGCGACCTAAATTTCTCAGGCTAATGGATTATTAAAACTAAGCCTAACTCGGGCCCTTCCAAACCTTACCAATTCGCAACTTAGAGTTTAAGTTTTTCATATACAAAAGTTTTCATACTTGGAATCGCCATTAATATATTTGTGGTAGGTCGATTAGAAACCTAAATAAAACATAAGGAGATATGTTTTATTCCTACGAATCAGAGATTCTAAGCTCGGGGACTTGGTTACATTAGATCTAGTCTAATGCCCTTTTGGTACCTTTTCTTTTCAAAAATGTTTATGCAGATAGTCTAGATCCATTTTATTACCTAATTATTAACATGTGAAGTGTTCATGCGGGTGCACAAACCACCAATTTAACACCCAAGAAAGCAATAAATAGATTGCAAGATTAGGAGAATGACGTACCTTAATGCAACGCAAGCATCTGCATTATTAGTAGAAAATCACACAGACAATCGTAATATGATTTCTAATTAACAAAGCAAGGCACTCAAGATGTTTTTTAGGATTTGCGCTTTATTAAAATGCAAACTAACCTATATACAATGATGTGCAAAAAATGACATGTGATTAATGCAACCTAGCATGCAAACTATATGTCATGCGACGACGTAACATAATTCTAATGACAGACAAATGATTTATTTTTGGCATTTTTCTCATAAAATTTGGAATAAAAAAATATCTAAATTAACATGCAATCTATCTTAATCTGTCCTAAAGTGACTCATTTTTTTGAGATTTTCATGGAAATTCGAAATCTAAATATCCTAAATAATCCACAAAGATTAAAACAATTTCTAATTTAAACTAGGAAATATGCTAGTCTAAATCCCAATTTAAATCGAATAATTATCTTACTCTCTTGGATATATTTAGGATTCTTTAAGTATGCAAACTTTTAATTTAAATTCTAACTAACATATTTTTGGATTTTCTTTATTTAAAAAAGAAAGCAATCAAATAAAGATAACAACCGCACTCAAACAATCCACGCAATCAGCAAGATTCTTCTTATCAAATTTGGATTAGGAAAAGAAATCAAACTAACGGTCATATCTATAGGGTTATAGATATCGACGGAAAGTAAATTGTTCGAATTTGGAAAGTGAATAAAATCTATTATCGTATCCAAGTGATTATGGATAAGATAACGATTTTCCGTATCGCCGCGTATCGTACCTTAGGGATAAGGTCGGATAGTCGTCCGGATACGTTGCCAAATTAGGAAAAATTCCTAATTTTGGGTATTTTAAAACATTGCGGATAAAGCAAACATTATCCTAAGGTATCTAGTCAATCACGTAATATTCACGTAATATTCAAAATATTCAAACTAAAAATTTAAATATTTTGAAAATATACAGGATAGAGATTTTTACCTGATTTGCGGATTTCTTTCCAAATTTTAATTTGCGGCGGATCGGGATCGTGGATCGGGACGGTGGCCGATGGATCGACGGTGGCAGTGACGGCGATGGCGGGCGTGACGGCAGTCAGGAGTGGCTCGGCTGGATCGCGGCCAGCAACTCGACTCGGGCTGCTCGCAATGGGGTGCTCACGACGGAGCTCGGCTTGGATCAATAGCTCGTCACCTTGGCATGCGGTGTGGTGCTCAGCCAAGGTGATGGTGTGGCCGACCGTGAGGCAGGCTGAGTTAACATCAAGGAATCTCCGCGTGACGGTGCAAGGCAAAGCCGAGAGCTGGATACCGTGGAATCGCCTAAGAAAATTCGCTTGTAATGGCAATCGATCACCGCGGAAGTTGCTGGACAAACGTTGAAGGCAGCATCGGGATTGGACTACAATTTGACTTGAGAAAATCTGCAACGAGAAAGATTCAGATGTGGCTAAAGCAGTGACTTGGCGAGGACAATATCGGACACATTGGGAAATTGGCGGGTGCTGGTGCTTTGCTGGTCGTCAGGGCTGGGTCTTCGGAACAAGTGAGCATGATGGCAAAAGGCACACAGTGGCGTGAGGCACAGCCACGATTTGAAGACCTGGTCCAGTTGCCAGGAGAACTTCCCGATTTTCCCTATAACTCACGGTGAGACAATCCAGGAAGAGGACAAAAACCAGCGCCTCCCTTTTCTATCTTGTTTTTTCTCTCGCTTTGTGGCCGTGTACGTAAGTTGTGTGGCCCTCTCTCTATACTCTCACTCACGATTTTTGGCCCCCTCCTGTTCCTTTGCGTATCACCCACGAATCACACAAAGGCTGATTGGCTGCTCTTCAAGGCTGAAGCGCTGCGGCAAAGGATGCTCGACCATGTTCAGCGATGCAGCGGCTTCTCGTCTTCATTAAGCAGCGGCCAGTGCAGCAAGGACGTTGGCGCGGCGGCAGCGACTGGTGTGACGCCGGGGACGGCACCAGTGGCGAAACAGCGGCGGCAACTCACGGCCACAGGTCTGGCCGTGAGCAGAGGGCGCGGCGTGAGGCGGCACGGACTTGAGCGGGACACGGGCACTCGCGACAGCGATTGGTGCGGCGGCCGCGTGGCACGTGCGGCTGTCTTCTCCTCTCACTCTTACTCTCGCTCACTTGTGCCTCTTTTGTTCTCAGAAATTGTGTTCACTAAAAATTATGAGAGCCCCCTTGATTGAGGGGTAAATTGGCCGGGCTTCCTAGTCCTAATGGGCTTAGGTTTTTATCCTTTAGTTTTTATTTAATTCCAAATGGGCCGAATTAATTTAGGTTTTTCTCTAATTAAGCTTGATGGGATGATTTAAGCTCAAATTAAGACAACCAAGGCCTTTTAGACTTGTGATTTTCGGCCCCCGTCTTCCGAGCGAGACGAGCTTTGTTCGGTACTCGAGCTTGATTTATGCAATGGATTTTCAACTTATTCACTGCCGCCGGTCCGATGTTGAATGCAATTAAACTATATGATCCTAAACAATATGCTATGTGATTTTGATATTTTTGTTTAGGGGTTAAAATTTAATCCCTAATTTTCTATGCAATTAATCACTAAATGCTTAGTCAAAATTTAGGTGTCAACACCCGTTTGTTTAAATACTGTTTCATGCTTTCTCATTCGAGGATTTGGAACATTAAGGAAAATTGTTCAATCTTGTCTTCGTGAGTACTTGCATGAGGTTCAGTTCGGCCACGGGTAAGTCAACACTTCTGAACTCTTAGATAAGGTGAAATCTCTCGTGAGGGTCTATTGAATCCAGCGATTCGTATACTTTCCATCTCGTGCCTAGTAGTAGGCCGAGGGTCGCCTTCGTAGGACCGATACGTGTCTTCCAATTCCCTGTGATGGCCAATCGGATTTAACTTGGGGAGTCCTCTTTGGGGACTGACCCGTTCAAACAAGTCTTTATTTATTCTTAAGTTGTCCGTGTGTGCTTGAAAGAGACATTGGCCAAACACCAAAACGATGTCCCGGGAAATCATTTCCGTCTGGAAGCCTCGTCAGTGTCCTGGAATGCGAAACAAAAACATGGGGCTAGGACTAGAATTGTCATCGGTGGACCTTTCGCATTATCGTTACAGTAGCATGAGTCGAAAGTGACCAGCACTACTGTATCCATCTTTTGATATATAGGATTCACATGATGGCAATCGAGCATTAAGATATTGATTGGTGGCAGCCGAGGAACCTTTTTTTTTTTTGGTCAAATCAGTCGAGGACTTGGAAATGAAGAGAATTGGAAGAATCTGAAGTGGTAGACCCCGTGGACTGGAAATCCTTGTCCTGAGTGGGGAAGGCCTTGCTGGATACAGGGAACCTGCAGAGCCCGCAAGTCACGTCGTAAAATCTTCTTGTGTATGATTTTTCTGTGGGAATCTTGACTAAAGTTTGTGTGGCTTATATCAGCCTAGATCCCGCGTTCGTCGCAATTGACGTCGCTCTTTGGATTGATCTTTTGTCACGATTGACGACCCTCTTTGGGTTGATCAAGGAATTTTATAGTGATTTTCATTCGGGTACTTGAGTTTTGAGT